TAGTTGGGTAAAGCCCCTGCCTCTTAAGCAGGAGATCCTGGATTCAAGTCCCAGTGGTTCCCTGTTGTAACCTTTGCTCACATTTACTTATGCCCTTCTGGGACACAGAAGAGGCCTCCCCTGGCCACCCATGGAACTGCTGGTTCAGGAAAAGACTGAGTGGAGAGGTGTGTGGGGAAGAAGGAAACCACAAGCACCGAGAGGTTTCTCCCTCACAGGTGAGAAGCATCTGATGCCCACATACTCGCTCGATGGCTGGAGGGAAATGGGGAATGGCTGCTCTTTGGGAGTCAAAAGTATTGTCTGGAAACATTAAGAACTCTTTTAAAGAGACTTTGCAGGAGGGCACCATGGCTTAGTTGGGTAAAGCCCCTGCCTCTTAAGCAGGAGATCCTGGATTCAAGTCCCAGTGGTGCCCTGTTGTAACCTTTGCTCACATTTACTTATGCCCTTCTGGGACACAGAAGAGGCCTCCCCTGGCCACCCATGGAACTGCAGGGGCCTTTTGAAGAATTTTTTTGTTCCTCACTTTTGTGGCCCCTGATTTTTCGGTGGGTCAGTGGCTCCAACCCAAAAAAATTTCCCCACCCCTGCCATACATAAAACAACACTGAAACTTATTGTGCTGGCCATAATTTTTCCTTTCTTTAAAATGAAGTTTGATCAGCTAACATGAGACAGTTCGAACACTTAATCTATGTAATAATTTAAATTAAACTCCCCACCTGTAATTATGTCATTAGTGGCGAGTGTCCACTAGCAATGGATAGTCCATGGAAAGGTTTGGGGAGGGCAGGGGCTCAGCAAAGGGGTGGGGTGTTGCAGAAGGGACAGGATAGATCCTGGCTTGCCCTGACATTTAAAAGGTGACCTTGGGGGCATGTGGCACCCTGAGCAGCCTCTGATGTTCCCTGCGTGAGCCCCAGAACCAGCTCTGAGTGATGGGGGAAAAGGGGGAGCAGCTCACACATGCCAAGGGGCTGTCCAGGGGCAGGACATGAGCCCTGGGTGGCAGCAGTGACATCACAAGGGCTTTGTAAAGCACCTCAGCTCATTGGTTGGGAGGCAGTGACCTCACAGAGGGTCCATGGCAATGGCCAGGTGGGACAGGCTGCAGGGCTGGGGCATCTCAGAGACCCCCTCCCATGGCCTGGCTGCCTGGAATCTCCTTTGTGAGATTTCCCCCTGACGGCAGAAAAGATTGAAGGTCCCAGCTGGGAGTGTCTCTGTGGAGATTTCGCCTTTCCCCAGGCTGCAGTGGGAGGGGGCTGGGGAAGGCAGGGGTACAGGAGGGGCTGGCACTGGACTGAAGAGAGATCTGGGAGAAGCAAGAGGAATGGCCGCAAAGATCACAGTGGATTAGCAGTCCATAGCCTTAACCACTCGGCCACCTCATTTGAGATGCTGGAACTTGTTACCAATTACCCAAAGCCAGCACAGCCAGGAACCTTTGTGCCACTCGCAGGCTGGCCAGGGACACCCAGGGCTGGAAGGTTTTGGCTTTTCACAATGTTCTGTGGGCTGTTGTACAAAGCTCAGGGCTGGTAACAAACCCAAACACCCACTGGCTACATCTACCCTGCAAACTTCTTGCACAAGAACTGTTTTGTGCAAGAGTTCTTGTGCAAAATGTCTTGTGCAAGAGCACGTCCACACTTCCACGTGCTTTTGCGCAAGAATGTCCGTGGCAGTGTGCAGGCTGTCTTGTGCAAGAAAGCTCTGATGACCATTTTAGCCATAGGGATTTCTTGCACAAAAAAACCTGTTGCCCAGCTCTCTTGTGCAAGAAAGCTCTGATGGCCATTTTAGCCATAGGGGTTTCTTGCACACAAAAAAACTGTTGCCCGTTCATACTACTTTCTTGTGCAAGAGCTCTTGCACAAGAGGATTTATTCCTCATGGGGAGAGGACTAACTCTTGCCCAAGAAGCCCTCTTTTCCTATGTTTTGCCGTAAATTTAGTTGCTCAAGAACATGAGTGCAGTGTAGATGCTCCTCAAGTTTTTGCGCAAGAACGGCCATTCTTGAGCAAGAAGAACTGTTGCCCGTTCATACTACTTTCTTGTGCAAGAGCTCTTGCACAAGAGGATTTATTCCTCATGGGGAGAGGACTAACTCTTGCCCAAGAAGCCCTCTTTTCCTATGTTTTGCCGTAAATTTAGTTGCTCAAGAACATGAGTGCAGTGTAGATGCTCCTCAAGTTTTTGCGCAAGAACGGCCATTCTTGAGCAAGAAGCCTGCAGTGTAGATGTAGCCCCTGGGTGCCCAGAGAGGGGCTGTCTAGTCAAAGTCTGGCTCGGCGCGCACTCTACAATGGGAAGATGTCTACGTAGCAGGCAGATGGCAGTGGCACACAGCTCTGGTGGGCCCAGCATCCAGAGGAGCGTTTCCGATATGAGTGTTTACTGACAGTGTCCGTCTCTGATCTGATTTCACAGTGTGGTGAGACACTGGCACCCACAGTCTCTTGCAGGGTGGCTGGTAGGAGCAGTGGCAAGTGGCCAAGGGAGTGTGTGAGCCTCATTTGCATATCTAATGAGCCACCATTGTTGTGGAAGAGGCTCTTGTGCCAGAAGGAGCATGTACACAGCCCTTTCTTGTGCACAAAAAACCCTCTTGCGCAATGCCGTTATGCTTAGCCTCATTTGCATATTTCTGGTGCAACAACCTGCCAGCGTATACATAGCCCAATTGTTTTCACTGTCAGAGGACTCAGTGGCCCCTCCCTCTTCCTACTTGCTCTCCCATAAGAGACAGACCTGGCTCCCCTTTCTTTTCCCCCAGCAATTGGCATGCTGCAAAGCAGATATCAGAGACTGCAAAGTTAGCGCTCCATGAGGTTCTGTGGTGCAATGGAAAGCATGTTGGACTTCTAAGCTTTAGTGAACACTGTGACCTTAATCAGTCATTCAAAGGTTGTGGGTTCAAATCCCACCAGAGTCACTTTAGCTGCTTCCTCATTTCCAGAGCAGCTTTTACAGAACAGGAAATCCTTAGGCTGACACCAGGATGGGCTTTAGTCCAGACAGTTCCCAGGGGACCCCAGCGAGGGTGACGGCAAGGGCTTCTCTGAAAGGCTGCAGGTGCCCACAGGCTGTTTTGTCCCTCCATGTCTCCTACCAGTGCTGTGCATCACTCAAGCTATGTCTACACACACTGTTCTTCTGAAAAAGCTCGGTAAATTGTGAACTCTGGTTTGCATAGCTTTTTCTGGAAGAAGCCTTTCCAACATTTGGCCTGTTTACACTGGGCCAAATGTGGGAAAAAAATCTTTTTTTGTAACATCCCTTCTTCTTCATAAAATGAGGTTCACAGGGGGACCAAAAATGCATGTCTGTTCTTCCTAAAAAAATTCTGCAGATGTGTTCTCTGGACTAAAGCGTTGTCTCTGTAGTGTAGACAGAGCCCTGATGTAACATCTTATTTCAAGTTTAGGCGCAGCATAGATAGAGGGTTGACATATGCTGCCTCTTAGACCATGGGACCTACACAAGACACCTGAGACTCAGCTGGGCCAAACTGGAGCCCTGGCCCAGGCCCAGGCTCACTGGGACCAGCTTTGCTTGTTTTCCTTCCACCCAGAGCACCCTCCTTCTCCTGGGCTTCAAGGAGCCTCCCTGGGATGCCCTGAGACAGGCACAGGGCTCTGCCTCCCCACAGCCAGCCCCACCCTCACAGGCTTTGGCAGAACAAGGGGCAGGGGTCTCTGCTCACCCCACTAAGTCCCACTGAGATGTTGAGCTTTTGTCCTGCCCCACTCAGCTTGGCCTCCCTCCTTTGCCCCATTCCCGCCTCACTTCCTCCTTGGGAAAGTCACACAAGGGAGGCAGCAGGAGGAGCCACCCCATATGCCAGCCCCTTAAAAAGCTCATCAATTTAAATGAAACTTTTACATCTCCAGGTGTGTCACACTTTGGATTTCTATTGAACAGGGATTCTTCAAATGACCACAAACCCCTAACATGCTCTAGTGCCAATGCACATAAACCAGACAAACCTATCCCTCAGCTGGAACCAATTCAAACCCGCTCTGTGTGTGTGTGTCTGGTTTCTGTTTCCATCCATTCAACAAGGGTGTGATCTGATCTGGATGCCCATTGGCTCGTCCTTACTCTCCTTTGGCTGTGTTCTGCAGAAGAACAAGGATCATGTCTAGCTGGGGATGAATGGCCATAATCAATCTTACAGCATTTGATTTAGCAAGTCCAACTAAGACTCACTAAATCAAACCCAGAGGCCACCCCCACCAGCCTCCAGCACTTCTGCTGTTTGCCCCCTTTCGGCTTCCTGCTGTGGGGACATGGCCAACTCCAGCTATGTAGGGAGGGATGGCAGGGAGAGCAGACACATTGGCCAGGCACCACTGGGGGCTGCCTCCATCACCTCCCTGATACCCAGCAGCTGCTTGGCCAGCTTAGTCACAGGGTTGCTCTCTGGGACTTCTCCCCTAGCTCCTCCACCTGTTGCCATTGCCCATCCCAAGGGAGGGTAGACGAGAGTCACTCTCCATGGTTGCAGGAGCTCTTTGGCCAGGCCCCCCTGGGGGCTGCCTCCATCACCTCCCTGATACCCAGCAGCTGCTTGGCCAGCTTAGTCACAGGGTTGCTCTCTGGGACTTCTCCCCTAGCTCCTCCACCTGTTGCCATTGCCCATCCCAAGGGAGGGTAGACGAGAGTCACTCTCCATGGTTGCAGGAGCTGCAGAGGTTGCACTTACAGGGTCTCTGGGCACTGACACCCCCAGGGAATCACAAGGGCATTTGGCGCTGGCTCACCTGTCCAGCAATTGCAGTTAGAGCCCTGCCTTGCCAGTGCCAGGCACAGCAGCCTCTCAGGGGTTAGGTTGGAGTCCCCAGGCTGGGGCCCGGCCTCCTTCAGTTTGGTCCCTTCCTGAGGGCACAAAACTGACAACAGGGAATTCCTTTGCCCTGCAGCAATCTCTGTTGGCCAAAGGGTTAGCAACCGAATATTTGCCCGAGTTTAAGTGCAGCAGCAGAAATGTGTTTCTGTGGTGTAGTGGTTATCACATTTGCCCAGCATGCAAAAGATCTCTGATTCAAAACCAGGCAGAAACACGGGATCTTCTCTTATTGCGGTTCCCCTGGGTGCCCATAAGGCAGTTCCAGGCTCTGCCCTCTGGTGCAGGGATTGGTGGCCTGTGTGCTGGCTTTCAGGAGCATGTGGGAGACAGATAAGCAGGTTAGGCTGAAATGGGAGGAGGCAGGGCTGGGGCTGAGACTTCTCAGCGGTGCCTTGCTGGGACCAGGTTGTCATGGCCACACAGTCTAGGGCCCACCCTGGAAGTGCCACTAATGTGGCTGTGCACCTTCAGGGCAGTGTGGCTGGTGCTTTCTGCCGCATGGGGACAGAAAACTCCACAATGTCCCGCCTCATGCCCAGACCCCAGCCACCCCGTTCCCCTGGCTTTCTTCCCACCCAGCATCCCCTGCTTCCTTTTACACCTTCCTGACCCTGACACAGCAGCCCCAAAATGAGCCAGGCAGTCAGATCCAGCCAGCCCTCCACTGCCCAGTCCCCCAACTCCCAAGAGCTAGCCAGGGGCTGGAGAAAGCGAGCACCATCCTGGACTTGGGTGGAGAACATGGACCTCTTTGGGGTTTGGGGGGAGGCCTCCACTGTCCATGATCTCTGCACTAGACAGAGGAACGTGGCCGTCTACAGCTGCATAGCTGGCACCGTGTCCACTAAAGGCCACATGTGCACCCAAGAACAGGTGTGCATGAAAATTAAATAATTGAGGTAGGGATATGCCAGGGCAACATGAGGCAGCACCCCAACACGGGCACACACCTGCCCCTATTTCAAGGCCCTGGACCACATCCTAGAGGGCGGGACGGTCTGTGCCAACCTAGGGGGCAGCGAACCAGGAGTAGAGAGCCCTGACCAGGGTATGGAGGAGGAGCTGCCACAGAGGGTGCCATGAAGGGTGCCACACCAGCTGGACCCCCGAGTTGTCCCAGCAGCAGAGTCACCAGTGTCATCCGGGGAGGCCACACCATGTAAGTGCCATCACTTTCCCCTTCTGTGACAGAGCATTTGCCCTGCACTGGCCCTTTAAGGGCAAATCTCAAAATAGATATTTTGGCCTTGGAAAGGGTTCAGAAAAAGGCAACTAAAATGATTAGGGGTTTGGAACGGGACCCATATGAGGAGAGGTTAAAGCGACTGGGACTTTTCAGTTTAGAAAAGAGGAGACTGAGGGGGGATATGATAGAAGTCTATAAAATCATGAATGGTGTGGAGAGGGCTGATAAAGAAAAGTTGTTTATTTGTTCCCTAAATAGGAGAACTAGATGACACCAAATGAAATGAATGGGTAGCAGGTTTAAAACTAATAAAAGAAAGTTCTTCTTCACACAGCGTGTAGTCAACCTGTGGAACTCCTTGCCAGAGGAGGCTGTGAAGGCTAGGAGTGTAACAGAGTTTAAAGAGAAGCTAGATAATTTCATGGATTCTTCTTCATACAGCGTGTAGTCAACCTGTGGAACTCCTTGCCAGAGGAGGCTGTGAAGGCTAGGAGTGTAACAGAGTTTAAAGAGAAGCTAGATAATTTCATGGAGGTTAGGTCCATAAAAGGCTATTAGCCAGGGGATAAAATGGTGTCCTTGGCCTCTGTTTGTCAGAGGCTAGAGAGAGATGGCAGGAGACAAATCACTTGATCATTGTCTTTGGTCCACCCTCTCTGGGGCACCTGGTTCTGGCCACTGTTGGTAGACAGCATACTGGGCTAGAAGGACCTTTGGTCTGACCCAGTACAGCCGTTCTTATGTTCTTATGTATGTTCTTATGTAAGTCCCAGCCTGGAGCAGGGCCTTGGAGTTTAGCCCCAGCTGAGGCTGCATTAGTTTATTAGGGCCCAGCTGGGAGCTATATAAGAGGATGGGCTGCTGTTCCCGGGGAGAGCAGTGAGAGCCTGGCTGCTGGGGGAATAGGAGGCTCCCTGGAGCTGAGCTGAGCTCTGGCCAAACAAACCCCCAGACTGCAGGGCCTGAAGAATGGCCCACTGAAGAAACAACCCCTGGAAGGACGGCTCAGAGACTGATGTGGGCACTGCCGGAGGGCAGTGTCCTGAAGAGAATGCTGTGGCCTGGAGGAAAGAGGGGAAACGCCACCTGAGGGAAGGTACCCTGCCAGCAGAAGGAGCTAAATCCTAGGACAGACGGTAGGGGGTGCTATGGTGGTGAGTGAACCCCCTCACACCTTCCCAGGGTGATGGGGAGGGAAACCAGGGACCAAATGTGTGGGCCTTGCTTACTACAGATCAGGCAGCAACCTGTGCACGTGCAAGTATGTGCTGTGCCACCCCTGGGCAGGTGGCTCTAGCTGCATGACACACAGGGGCCTTGGCCTGATAGCCATGTGTGTTTGTGAAGAGACCTGACATGCTCCTTACCTCGGTGTGACAAGGCAGGATGCCCTCCCTTCACATGCACCCTCTAACATCTTCCTCCCCCACCTCACCCACACTATACACAGCACAGGGGCATGGGTGGGGTCTCAGGGCAGCTCCCACTCCCGTAGATAGCCGAGCATTCCAACCATGGCCTCTGTGCAAGCACAGCGGCTCTGACGGTGCAGGGCACGGTCATCCTCACCTTGCAGGAGGAAGGGGGGCTTCACCCCTGTTCCTCCAGAGAGAACTGACCACTTCTTTCTCCACAGCTGCACCAGCTGCGCATGCAGGGCACCCTATGGAAATCTATTGTTAACCCCCCCAAGTGATCATAGGGCATATTTTTCACACACACACAAATATAATGTGCATTTTTATATATGCATATCTACTTGTACATGCATATACTATACAGTGACATTTCAAATCAGGAATTTAAATGTAGTCAAAGCTTTAATTTATAAAGCTGAAGAGTGACTAAATTTAATGCAGGAGTCAAATTACAGAAATGTATTTATTTTGTCCACATTCACCTGCATGCATTTCTAACATTTTATCATTGTAATGATTAATTACAATTACTTAAATGTAGATGTCTGCAAGTCACCAAGGCCTAATGAAATGCACCCTAGAATACTCAAGGAGCTGATAGAGAAGGTAACTGAGCTTTTAGCTATCATCTTCAAAAAGTCATGGAGGTCAGGAGAGATTCCAGAAGATTGGAAAAGGGGCAAATCTAGTGCCCATCTATAAAAAGGGAAATAAGAACAACCCAGAAAACTACAGACCAGTTAGTTTAACTTCTGGGCCAAGGAAGATAATAGAGCAAGTAATTAAGGAATTCATCTGCAAACATCTGAAAGATAATAAGATGATAGGTAACAGTCAGCAGGTATTTGTAAAGAACAAATTAAGTCAAACCAATCTGATAGGGTACGTCTACACTACAGAGCTAATTCGAACTAACGCATCTAGAACTAAAAACTAGTTCGAATTAGCGTTTTGCTAATTCGAACTAGCGCGTCCACACTGATTGGACGCAGGGGGGGCATTTAAGGGCGGCTGAAACCGGTTCTGGCAGGGCATCAGGTCAGTAGTTGCTTTGTGTGGCTGCTGTCTGAGGCTATCTGAGGCTCGTGCTTAAAGGGACCCCCCCGGACAGCCAGTTCTCAGCTTTTCCTGTTTGCTTGCCAACCTCGCCGAGGGACAGAAAAGCGTTGGTCTCTGTGCCCGTCTGTGTCGGTGTTTCCCTTCGGGGACACCGCCGCAGGTGGCAACATGGAGCCAGAGCTCGCCCTGCACCTTCTGGTGCACTTTCTGGACTTGCTGCTGCAAGCCTGCCACCAATGGCTCGAGGCTGCCTGGCACCACCTGGTGCACGTCAGCCCCCTGCCTCACTGCCTGGCCACCCTGGGGAAGCCCTGCGGGAGAGCTTCCAGGTGGAGGAGGAGGACTGACCTCTCCCTTGCATGCCCCACTGGGGCCTTCTTCCAACCTACCCCCCTTCTGCTTTCCCCTCCCTACCTACTGTAAAATAAAGACACCTGTTTTTCAAACAAAAACATATGTTTATTTCACATAACTGGGGTGGGGGAAGGGAGGAATGAGGGTGGGAGAGTGGAGGGGGAAACCTGGGATCAGGGAGCTGGAAGGGGAGGGAAGGGAGGAAGCGCCCCTGCCCTGCACAGAAGGGACACTCGCATGAGTCCCGCCATCCCCCTCCAGAATCGGGTGGTTATCGCCCTCTGGAAGCTCTCCACGCCAGACAGCTACCGATCTGTTGGGAACCAGTTCGGCGTGGGGAGATCCACCGTCGGAGCGGTGCTCATGCAAGTATGGCACTCATTGGCCACTGTGCCGGGGAGGAGGGGGGCTGCGAGGAGGGGATGGGCCGCCCCAGGGACAAAGGGGGGGGCGGGAGGAGGCAAAAGCGCCCCGCACCGGAGGGGTCGGGCTGTCCCGGCCGTACTAAACGCCGCCACGGGGGTTGCGTCCGGGGG